TGCTGACAAGGAAGCCGGGTGTCGTTGTTATCTCGCGCATTGCCGTCTGTCTGTCAGTGGCATTCATCATGGCCCGTCACCGCTGATGTGGATTAAGCGGTAGCGAATGCAAGTGCAAAACGTCCTTGGTGCTCCGTACTGCGTACATTGGAGCTTATGTGCTCTCGCAGACTCGCAGTAGTGTCGGGGAATCTTGGGACTCAGTCGAGCGGAGAGCTGCGAGGGGTCCACGGCAATCTCGCTCTGCCACTCCGAGGCGGCAACGGGACTGGACGCTGGAGGGTCCATGTGGATGGCGCTGGCTGAGGCCGACAGCGACCGCCCTGCCTGCGGCGTGGGAGCACTGCAAAAGACGTGCTCTGATTCGCATCGTCACCCACTCATCCAGCGCGCTGCTTTCTTCGCAGCAGGTGCTGCGGAATAAGTGCAGAACCAGTTTGTGCTCCATAACAAGGTACTTGTAGCCACTTCGCTCCATAATTATTATTGTGGGAGCAGGTACATAGATAGTGTAGATATCCTTCGGCAAAGCAACACTCCATCCATCCATCCATGCCTGTCCATACTGGGCGCCGTGGCTCCTGTCCTGCACCGGAAAACTCTGCAACACCAGTGGCTGAACGTCCGCCTGCCGCCCGTTGGTGATTAGCCATCAACGTCCATCAGCGACCACCGTTTTCTGCATGCCAGCATAGGTCATAGTGATAGTATGTATACCGTAGTATTGCGTAGGTTGCCAGGCTTGCGCTTTATTGCTGGACCCCGCCAACCCTGCCAACCTGGAAGGAATAACGAAAAAGATCAACCTTGATGCCAAGACCGCCGCAGCAGCAGCATAGAGGTGTGGACTGTACCCAAGGGAAAAAACCCAGCCGACCTCTCCCACTTGGGGAGGCAGGTACCTTCCACAAAGTACCTATCCACTTTATACCTATGTAGGTGACCAGGTTGGATACCGAACAAGGTACGCCCTACTTAGCGTTGGGTTGTTTAACGCCCAGCATTTCGCATTCGCCCGTTTCTCTCCCTCTACCTACCTTACCTTACCTTACCTTGAGGTACCTTAGCCTACCGGCCTTGTACTTTGCTGCCTCACCGTCCATCCATCTCATCTTTCCTGCCAATTCTTTCATCTAGTTTCCTGCTTTCTTGCTCCCGAGTCTGCTGGCTTTCCCGTCCCGCCCTCGCCTGCGGCCCAAGTACTCAACCGACCCGACCGACCTGACTTCTCTTGCCTGCCGCTTGTTCTTGCCAGCAGCTTGTATGACGCTTGCGCCCTCTCTGTCTGTGCCAGTGCCAATTGTGCGCCGCGGATTCGTCGCACCTCCACACCAAAGAGAACTGCCGACCACGAACATATTCGCGCAAGCTTGCAGCTAGAAGGATTACATGACTGTACCAGACTACTTGGACGGGCAAAACACTTCCATCTTTACTGCCCCAGCCTTCTTCCGCCAGCCAGCTTCTATACCCGTTTCCCCGGCCGCCGCGAACGACTAAACGACCCCGACATTTTTTCCCCATCTCCCCAAACAGCCGTCGCCAAAGCTTCTCCAACCTGTCGATCTCGTCGCGTGTGCCCGTCCAACCCACGATAGCTGCGCCGCCGCCGAACGTCCTTCATCCAGGACCCCTCGATGCCCGCCGAGCGAGTGGCGCCCCGAACGTCATCACACTTACTGCGTCCATGTGTCAGACCCTAAAGCCATGGCATGGTTGTCATCGGTGTACAGTTAGCAACCCACCGTCCTTCTCCAAACCTCCATGGTGGTAAATCCTGGTCGACCCCTCCTGCCTCGACGCTTCTTCTCGCCGAGCATGTCAGTCGTCACTGCCACTGACGATGGCGTCCCGGATCGTGGCCCGGCTGTCTTTGCCGTGACAACGGCAACATTCGTATTAGCGAGTGTCATGGTAGCCGCCCGTCTCTTCTGCAGGCGCTTCATTGTCAGAAATGTCAGCTGGGACGACAAGACCATGTTTCTGGCCTGGCTCATCGCCTTCGGATTGTCTTTCACCATTTGCTTCGGCACCCGCAGAGGACTTGGCCGCTACGATGCCGACATTGCGAGGAGCCATTGGGGCTCATTGCGGGCGTGCGAATATGTCTTTTCAATACTCTATGTGAGTGACCTCCTGGCGCCGTTGGCGTACCGTGTCTCGCTGTGGCCCGCCACCTGCTTACAACCCCGCAGAATCCTGCCCTCATGGCAACAAAAACCGCCGTCTTGATCTTTTACCTGCGACTTTCGAAAAACACCAAAAAAGTACTCAGATTTGCTTCTTGGGTCACTCTGGGCATCGTCAATCTCGCTGGCACCGTGCTCACCCTTATGAACATTTTTCAATGTCGACCCGTTGAAGCAGCCTGGGAGGTTGGGCAGGACACCTCCCAATGCATCCCGCTGCTCACCGAATTCATTTGCTCGGCGCCGATAAATATCGTCACCGATCTGGCCATCTTGGCCCTACCCATACCAGTATTGACCGGCATGAGACTGCCTCCGAGGCAGAAGATTATCCTAGTCCTTACCTTTACCCTCGGTATCTTTGTTACTGTCGTGGACGTCGTCCGCATCTACTACTTACAGCAAGCCGTCACCTCTGTCCCCACCGGCGTATCGGCCGACCCGAACTCCCGCTTTGGCGGCACCCCGAACTTCGCCTGGAACTCGTCTCTGTCTTTCATGTGGTCAGCTGTGGAGGTGAACGTTGGAATGTCATGTGCTTGCATCCCGACTCTGAAGCCTCTCATCATCAAGATCCTCCCGGCGATGATCATTGACCCCGACGGAACGCGATCGAGCACTCAGACGGAAAAGGACATCTTGGACAGCCCGAGAAATCGTAATGGCAGCGATGGCCTGATTTCACCGGCAACGAACCCGAACCGCGGCAGTGTCAGTGTCCAGCAGCCACCTGTGGCAGCTCGTGGCAGCCGAGATATCGGAGCGTCTTTGAATCCTACGACTGCAGATACCGACGGAAACGGTTTGACGGCGCTCGAGTTTCTCACCACCCCCGAAATGACGCTAGAACAATTCGAGGCGTCCAGCGCAGGCAGGCTAGGTGGGATGAGGACGAGAACTTCTATGGCGACCAGCAGAGAGAACACCATCTATTTCGGCTTCGTCAATATGAGGCGGCCGAAAAGCATGGTCAAGTGTGATTCTCAAGAATCGTTCCGCTACTGTCTCGTGGTTACCATCCTGTTCCTGATGTGGGGCATCTCTTACGGCCTACTCAACACCCTCAACAACGTCATTTCGAGCGTCTCACAAATGTCTGTGGCCCAGACACTTGGTCTCACAACCGCGTACTTTGGCGGCGGTTACTTCTTTGGCCCCTTGGTCGTGGGTGAGTGGATTTTGAGGCGCGATGAACACCACCGCAGAAACCGGAAGAACAACCGGCACGGGGCCGAGAGCGTCGGGGGCTTCAAGGTGACATTCATTGTTGGACTGTGCTTTTATGGCGTTGGAACCATTATCTTCTGGCCATCTGCCGTCACCAAGTCCTGGGGTGGTTTCCTGCTCAGCAACTTTGTCGTTGGCTTTGGTTTGTCCGTCCTGGAAACAGGCGCCAACGCCTTCCTGATTCTCTGTGGACCGCCAGAGTACGGCGAGACACGACTTCTGCTCGCCCAGGGCGTTCAAGGCATCGGTGCCGTGCTGAGCGGTCTGATGGCTCAGCGGGTCTTCTTCACCAAGATCACCAATCAGGACGGTACCAACGACAACTCCACAACGCTACTCAACGTCCAATGGACCTACCTTGCCATCACGCTTCTGTGTGTGGCCCTCGGGCTGTTCTTCTATTACATGCCCTTACCAGAACTAAATGACAACGAACTACAAGAAACAGCAGACCGGCTGCCAGTCAACCCCCATAAGCGCAGCATTGGCGGACTACAACTCCGGACATGGAGTCTAATATTTGCCGTCATTGCCCAGTGGACTTACGTCGCTTCGCAAGAATGCAACAATATATTTTTTCGCGCCCTGCTCATCGCCACCCTTCCGAACCAAGAAGACACCGGATCAGCGGCAACAAACGCAGACACAAACCCAGGGGAGAACAGCGACAAACCGCCTGGCCTTATACTGGGGGTAACGGACTATCACCTCGTTGCCCATAGCGCGTTTGCCGTATCACGATTCATCGTTGCGTACCTCACCTACCTGTCCGTTCGCAACCCTCGCATGCCGAAGCCGAGAACATGGCTATCAATCAGCGTGGGCCTGTCGCTCGTCGCTGCCCTCCTAACAGTTGTGCTAAGGCCGGCGGACCCTAACCTGCTACTGATCCCAGTAGTACTGTTCTACTTCGGCGAGGGACCCGTCTGGCCGCTCATCTTTGCCATCGGCCTTCGAGGCCAGGGGCGGCGGACGAAGCGGGCGGCCGCTTTCATCACCATGGGTGGCTCCGGCGCCGCCTTCTTTCCCTACGTCATGTACGCCATCATCAACAACGGCGCCACGGTGCAGCTTGCATTTGTCCTCATCGTGGCCCTCTTCGTGCTGACGGCTTTTTACCCAACCTGGCTCGAGTCCGTCAAGGATGCAAGGGCCATGACGAATCCTGAGCACTCGGTCATTACCGCCGAGGAGCGTCAGGCTCACGCAGACGAGATCGACATGAACCGCGAAGTAAGACGGCGCAGAAGAACAATGTCCTCCATTGCGGCGAAGAGCAAGCGAGGCAGCGTTTTTAGCAAAATATCCCCGTTTGGCAGAACCAACGGGGAAAGCGTCACTCCCCCGGCCGTTGAGCATTCTGAAGAAAAGAATTCCAACAAGTCGTCCGAGGCGAGCAACGATACGCGGTCCCAGACCGTATGAATGAGCGATGTTTTTGATTACTGTGCAGGCTCTTGAGCCTGTTTATATTAATTGTTATATACCCAATGATAATGACGTTCGATGAATGAAAAGTTATGATTTAGACATTTCAAATCTTGACCGCTGCGAAACTTTTCCGTGAGCCGCCGTTGTGACCACCTACTTTGCCAACCCTGACGAAATCTTTTCAAAAACCTGCACGCCCTCTCTGCCCAGCGCCGTGCCGACCCCGACGGCATACGCGCCAACGCTCTTCATCCGCCTGAACCCATCCGCATCCGACACACCGCCGACCCCGATGACTTTGATGTGCAACAACTCGGGCTCCTGCGAGACCAGCTCCGCAATCGTCTTTACGTTTCCCAGAGCCAGCGGGTGCAGCGGCGCACCGGCCATGCCGCCGAGCCCGGAGCCGGGGAGCCGCGGCGCCAGCTCATCCCCCTCTTCTTCCAACAACAGACACGAGCCGAGTGTGTTCACCGCCGTGATGAAGCTGATCTTGCTCGGCACCTTGAGCATCGCGTTCCTCGTCACGACGGTCGCGTCCTCGCGCAGCGCGGCGATGAGCTCCTGGTAGTGCGCCGGGTGCGTGTACGGCGGCGTCTTCAGCCCGACGGGGATGGCGGGCGTCTGCGGGAGGGCGGCGAGGTAGGCCTTCAGCTGGGCGCGGTCGGACGCGGGCGGCGCGGCGGCGGCGATGTTGGGGCACGAGAGGTTGATCTCCATCGCGAGCGGGTGCGGCGTCGTGGGCGCGAAGGCGGCGACGCGGGCGTAGCATTCTGCGATCTCGTCCGGGGAGCCGGTGACGCTTACGATGACGAGCTTGCGGTGGTGGTGGCCCTCGATGGGGGATGCGGGCAGGTCGGCGATGAAGTCGAGGTAGGTGTCGAGGGGGAGCGGGGAGTAGCCCAGGTTGTTGAGCGAGGCGACGTCTTCGGGGCGCAGGTCTTTCGGGGTGGTGTGGTGGGAGGAGGAGTTGGGGACGGTGGGGGAGGGGCGGGAGGTTGACGGGGAGAAGAAGGTGTACTGGTGGCGCGCGTCGGAGTGGGCGAAGCCGGCGAGGAGGGAGGTGCGCGTGGTGAGGGCGCCGGTGTGCGGCGAGGCGTGGAGGGCTTTGAGGTCGGAGAGCGTTGTGCACCAGGGGTTGGCGGAGTTGAGGAGGGGTGGGGAGATTTTGAGCTCTGGGGGCGGAGGGGCGTTCATCTTTGGGGGTTCTCGGGTGGTTCTCTGATGAAGTTTCCTGAATGGAGTTGAAGGAATTACTCACCGAGACATGAGATTGTGAGTGTGGCGGTATGTCTGTGTAAGTGAGTGAGTTCGCAACGAATGATGAGAGGGAAATGACATGAGGTTGTCGTCAGGTCTCCCGAGTCCCGCGCGCCGAGGTGGGGGGAGGCGGGGTTGATAAGATAAGCCGCCCCGGCGAGGTCCGAGGGGCCGGACGGGCCTTTCGGCCGATGTTTAACGGGCTTGGCTTTTGTGGCCTCTGTGGATTGGGGGAAAAGTATGTTTTTCGCCAGTTTAGGAAGGTTCTGTGCGGTGGTTAGTTGCGTAAGAGGCAGGCAGAGTTGGACATGGTTTGAAGCCATGCATAAAGGCGTCAATGTCAATGTCTGCTCAATGGCTTCTTTCACGCAAATGAGGTATATCGTCTCAAGGTTTTCAATAGAATTCTCATCACAATCCTATAGAACATGATGATTTAGCCAAGAGAGCCCCATTGACGTTTCAATCGTCTCCGCGATGTTAATTAATACGGCTAGAATACTCACCGAGCGGTGCAAAAGAACGAAGAAAGACTGCTGTATCGGTCACCACATCAATATCAAGATATGATATGACTGTTTTCATGTATGCGTTGCTGAACATTCTGCGGAAAACTCAGAGACGACTGTACCGACATTGGCTGGTGTAGGATCAAGTTTGGGAGAAGATAATCAGCCTTCGTTTGGACCGTCTGGGCGAAATTCCAAAGGTTGAGCATTGTCGCACCTCCTACTAAGCAAAATGATCAATCCATAACATTGACGACCCTGACTCTATTTACAAGAACACATGGGTTCATGAGGCTTGAACCCAAAACCATGAGAACGCAGAGGATATTGCTAACGTTTCTTGTTTATGGATCGGTGCGCACTGGTTGATCAGGCTCTTGACTAGATGCTCCCGTTTTCTGAAGCACTCATCACAGAAGTGCTAGTGCAGTAGTATGAATACATGCATGATACTACAAAGAATGCAGAGAAGACGAGTAGAAAGACAACATTTGATATATTCAGTCTCGCGGAGCGCTCTTGTTGAATTAGTTGGGGATGTATCAACTTCAGATCAGAGTGCGCACCCGCCCGCATTTCTCTCGCAGCTGGGCCTGGCTAGAGGAAGTTTCCATGGCTACGCCCTCTGCCTATTTATATTATCCTATTTCTAGACCAGACCCAGATCATTCACGCCATAGGGCTGAGGTGGTCCGACGGAGGGTGTGGTCCGACGGAGGGTGTGGATATCCAGGCGTGGCCACACCCGGCATGCCCAAGAGTCTCACCACGTCACCATGCAGCCCCAGGAATTCAACATAACGACAGATATAGATCCGTGATGATTTTTGTCCGGCCTCAAAAGACGGCGTGGACTTTAAGAGCTATTTAACGATCTCTCATAGGACTTCCTCTTCGTGAATGCCACGGGAATGTAGTGATGAACCCATCAGGAACGCCGCCTGATCCAAGTCGCTTACCGTATCAAGAAAGAAGAACAATCGGTCGTAAGTCGGATTGGTAAAGCTTCAGTCGTTGATCAATTTACTTCAGTTGGTGTTCCGAAGCGACATACCTATCGAGAACACAAATATATATCAAGTGGTCAGGGACGAAGATGGCCGACAGCCCGATGAATTCGGGCTTTCAAAATCATTTTGGATTCGTGCCTGGTTTCGCATCATATTCCTGGCCAAGGTACCTCAAAATCTGGTGAGGCCGTAATCCAAGACACTCATTGCTGCATACCGGGCGTTGCGGCTTCGTACGAAGAGCCTCGCCTTTTTAAGAGGCTACAAGGCTCTGACTAGACGGTCGCCTCCGCGAATGCGAAGAAACATCTTGGACTGTGACATTGGTTCTCGCAGAGAGCGAGCAGTACACATGTTTGCGTTACTGTTTACTTCTTCTGTGGATGAAATGACTTCAAGCTCGAGCTTTGGTTTGGGAAAGATAATGCGTTGGGTACTGTTCTTTGCAGCAGAAAAGCATTCAACACAGTGAGATATGATTGATCAAGCAAGCTATTTGGAACATACAAGATCATGACGCCTTATGTGTTGCTTCTGCCCGTCGTCATCGTAGTCTCTATCATATGTATGATCGTTCTTACTTTAGAGTTTAACAGTAATGGCTTCAGCTTCAGTAGCTGGTGACATTCAAAACAGGAAGAAGGGCCGATGGTGGCTGCCGACCAGGAACTAGAGCTCCTTTACCGACTAAGGTTGGAAATGAACTGCCATGTCTGAGATTCAGGACATATCCACAGCGCTCTACGTGGTTCCTTTTAAACACCTCCGATTTTCGAGGAATACGCCGCGCAGACTGCTTTTAGAGTTGACGATATACTGCTTAAGAAATTCACCGGAGCGTTGCCCTTATTCGTCTAGAGGACGGCCGTGATTCTCAGGTCTGAAAGAAGTTGTACCATGCAAGCTCTGTTCTCAGGAGTTGCAATAACATACGACCAATGAAGTGCATAGACACACTTCTTGACCACCAATGTTGCGGGCGTTGCTCGTATACGGCCCAGGAGAGGAAGAGCCTATGCAATCACTGCTATCTCGCCGAGTTGACGGTGCTCATTATGCTTCCCGTGCAACATATGAGTACTACAGATAGACCGAACGCGACCACGTCGCATTTATTGAGGACTAGTTCCCCAGGGACTGAAGCATTTTCGCCAAGTGCGTATCTAATTTCGGATTGTGATCGGGTTCTCGAGCACTTTGCGTCTAGCTCCTGGCTTGCAGGTGGTCTTGCACTCACTCGCTTGATACATGTAGGCTTAGCGCCGGCAATGGTTTGAAAGCAAAGACGAATTGATGCTGCTCTGATTCTTGCAGTATCAAATAACAGTCTGGCACAACGACATGGGCGATTCCCGCAGCATTCAGACCAGCCCCAAGCCTCAATCTAGGCTGAAGCAGCCGCTGTCATCTTAGGCAGAACTCAAATATTGGCAGACATGGCCGGTCATACAACTCCAGGGATTCAGGAAATCATGGCCTTGCCCCGCATGACAACACTCCCTACCATGTGCAGCAACCGGGAGGTCTAGCCATTCATTCATGGTATGATGTCAGCATGCTCTCTCGGATTCGTTCTTGCAGTTAGCATCGGTATGAAGGGCTGGTAGTATCTCGTACACGACGGAGGGTGACAATCGCACTGCCGGTCGTCACCACGGCATCTCCCCGGAGTCTGCTCTTTTAGCGAACGGCACGTGCAATGCATGCACCCGCCCTGAGGCACAAGACAGGAGGCGAACAATTCCGTCTGAGACCGCTCCAGGTGTTGTTGTTCAAACGGTTGTTGAGCCAGGCTATAGCTGGCTCCTTCTAAGAGTCGCACAGCTGCTCCGGAGTGGTCACGCGTCAAGCCCGGCCTCCGTTCGGCACGGCCGTCGTCCGTCCGCCCCCGCCCATCCCCGGCGCACCGCGCACCCCCTCGAATACGAATATTACACAAGCAAAACAACCTCGAACCGACCATTCCGTCCCGTCGCCAGACACGCCGAAGCCAACTAGACTTTCGTATCCCGCCCTCATACCAATCACGCCTTGCCAAAGCCATACTGCCAGCCCTCCACACGCGTTCAGCAGCTTTAGGTACCGTACCTTACCTTTCCCCCGCAACTCCGCAATGCTTCCCCCCCAAAACCCGTCCCCCAACGTTACCAACGGCGCTGGCTGCTGGCTGCTGATGCTGATCCCTTCCCAGTCCCGTCCGGCGTCGAAATTAACACCCAGGAACGCCGCGCGTGACCCGAATCCAGGGTCGACCAACCCACGGAAAACCACCAGAGACCCTTTTCCATGCGTCCATCCATCCAACCCCTCCCAACTCAAAACTCCCTTTTGATCCTTCCCATTTAATATGTTGGATTCTCATCGTGGACAGTCTTGCTACCCGTGTAACTGAGCACCCATCACTCACTCAAGTCGTCCCCCACCCCCGCCTTTTGCCGTTTCCCACATCCTGCCGCAGCTCCTCCCAAGTCAGGTGCTGTCGTTGACTGGCTGACAGCTCCAGAGCACAGCCAGGCACGCGCGCCACACAAACCCCGGACTGAACCCCAGCTCGCTCCCTCCAACCCCAGAAATCCTACCCCAACCTCACTACCACCTCACTACCAGCCCGCCCCAAGCTTAGGTCGCCCGATATGTGCCCTCTGCTATATGCCCTCCCCCCTCTCATTCTTCTAGAATAAAAGAAAAGAAAACGCGAAAGAAAGGGCCTCAGATGCGACGGCCCGAACAGCCGCGCGAAACGGAGCCCGTCTCCTCCACACCTCCTCTCATCTCTTGCACTCCAACAGGGCAAGGTAAGGCACCTTACTAGCTAGCAGCAGACCTCCATCCGCACACCACGGAGCCGCACACACCGCTGCCGCAACAACTTCACCTCCATGATGTACCTTAGGTCAGGTACCTTGCACGAATACAACAAGCATGCGAGAGAGAGAGAAAAGCAGCCCCATGCATCCTCCTGCCTGCCGATTCCTCGCACCGTTCCCTTCCCGACCCGAGCGAATACCGAGGGGGCAACTCAGAAGGGGTAAGGTAGGTATCGCCCGTCGTGTTCAGACCCTGGTTTCTGGTGCCTCTGCCCACCTGCCTGCCCCAAATCCCCGCATTCGCTACCTCATTACAGCGTCGCACCGGCACCTTTGGCTCTCCTCGTCAAAAGATCCTGGTTGCTGTCCCCCCCCTTCCGCTCGGCCGAGACACATGACGACCCCCAGGGTGCCTGACTGCCTGCCTGTCTCTCTCTCTCTCTCTCTCTCTTTCTTTTCTTTTTTTGCCCTTTGGGACGGGGCAGGAAGGCAACCGCATGCAATGCACAGAGAAAGAGAGAGATGGAGGCCCAAGACCATGCCACCTGCCCGGCAATCCTGCACCTGGACCTGACTACTCGCGCGCACCCAAATGAACAGCCCACCCACCC